ACGGCCCGGCCCGGTCCGTTACAAGTATGCGATCCTCTAGAAGTTCGTTTGACACATATCGCGAACAACGAGCTGCGATGAGTCTCATATGTGTGCGATGCGGGAGAGGCTGAATCGAGTGTTCCGAATGCGCGCGTATCCTAGATGGATTCTAGGTGGGTGGGCGATGTGTGCGATATGGGTCTGATACGGTAGGCCGACTACAACACTCCGAAATCCCGGATGCGCGTATTGTTTACCGTAAACCCACACCGGCAACTTTGCCAATTTTTCGTCAAATCGAGCCTACATTTCTGGTTTTTCGATTATTCCTTCGATGTTTTTTTTGTGAAAAAGAGTTATGGCAGAATAAAAAATCGCTGAATTCTTGCAGAAACATGTCTTTCACTCGTTAATTGCTATGTTTTTCGCCAAAATAGGTGACATATGTTTTGAACAAATGAAAAAAAAACAATTTTTAGCGAATTTTTTCCCATTTTCTTCTGTTTTGGATTGCATATCAAATTTAAATAGAAACTGCCATAAGTCTTTTTCAAAACAAAAACATTGAGTCGAAAAATCAGTAATATGTCGTTCAAAATATAAAAGAATATGGAATAATAAAGGAAAAGTACGAAATCGGAAGACCTGAACAAAATCACATCACAATAGAACTTAACTGATACTTCTAGGAACCCCCAACCAACGTTTTAGTTCATCCATTATGCGTATGCACGCCCAGGACCTGTGTGGTGGCAACGTCTTTTTAATTGGGTTTTCAGTTAGTATAAAGGGCAATTTTTGCAGATCTTTCACCCAAAATACACCAAATACGACCTCCAAAGACGCAAAATTTTACACCAGGAAGTGTGTGAAGACTGGAAACAGTATTCTGATCACCCAGGATGCAAATGGAAGAATTCGAATTTTTGAATTTCTCGAAAATTCTGAAAATGGATTCCAGAATCATGAGCAATGTCCGACGTGCAAGGAATATATTTATGTGATGAGGTGAGTGGTGGCTTAAGTTTTCCAAATGAAGCTTCAAGGTTATTCAGGGTTGTGACCTAACTTTCCGAATTTTTGAATTTTTGAGATTTTGAATTTTTGAGATTTTGAATTTTTGAGATTCTGAATTTTTGAATTTTTGAATTTTTGAATTTTCGAATTTTTGAGATTTGGAGTTTTTGAATTTTTGAATTTTTGAAAGTTTTGATTATTTTGAATTTTTTGAAAATTTCGAATTTTTGAGTTTTTTGAAAAGTTAGATTTTTGAGATTTCGAATCTTCGAATTTTGAAAATTTTCAAGTTTTTTGAATTTTTGAATGTTTGAACAAAAATATGTTTTTTTTTCAGGAAACCAAGAAATCTGAAGACGTCCCGAAAAGATATTCTGAAGCAGATGCGAAAGCTTCAGAAGACGTTCAAATTGGAGACGTCAAAGATTCGGGAAAAGAAGACGTTCAGAAGTCAGATGACGTGCAGGATTCTGAAAAGAGGACAGAAGACGTTCGAAGTTCAGATGACGTTGATGATTCTGAAGACGTCAAAGATGCCAAAAAAACCGTTAAACTTCAGAATCCCGAAAAACCACACATGAAGAAATGCTTACTTTGTGGAGACGTGTCTGAATCAGATTTCTCCGAATCCGAACTTTCAGAATCGGATATTTCGGATTCTGAAAATATTGAATTTTTGATGGGAATTCAAAAATCGAGATTAACTGGAGAGACTGAAGTCAAAAAACAGTTGATTCGCAAAATTTGTGAATCTGCGAATCGTGGAAATTGGTATGGAGACGTCAAGGAGGATTCAGAAGACCTAGAGAATCCAGAATGGGCATCTGAAGAGGAAAAAGCCGTCGTGGATGCTTCAAGAGAGGACGTCAAGTATTCCGAAGAAGACGTTGCCGATTCAGAAGACGAATGGGAATCTGAAGATGACACACAATGGGAGGATTCCGATTCAGAAGACGTCACCAAGGATTCAGAAGGAGAAGTTGGAGCTTCGGGAGTAAGCGTCAAGGACCCAGAAGGCGTTGAGGCTCCAGGAGTACGCGTTCTAGTTCTAAAAAACGACAAGGATTCAGATTCATGGGCCCGTGAAGCAGAATTTATTCGGAAGCTGAACGATGTGAGAAGGAAATCTATGATCGAGCAAACGGGAAATTTGGGAGCCTTCGCGTATTCAGAAGACGTTAAGAAGTCACAAGGCGTCGAAGATGCAGAAGAAGACGTCGAGGCTTCAGAAGGAGACATGTATTCTCCAGGAGAGAACGTAGAGACTCTAGGAGACGTGGAGGATTTAGAAGAAGGCGTCAAGAATTCTGGAGAAGGTGTTGAAGATTTAGAACACGAATGGGGATCTGAGGATTACACACAATGGGAGGAATCGGATTCAGAAGACTTCAACGATTCAGATCCATGGACTGCAAGTCTCCAAGAATCGATGCGGAAGCTGAAGAACCCGAAAACAGATTCTGAAGACGTCAACGCTGCCAAAAACACTTCTGAAGTCGTTCGAAAATTCAGAAACTTGATGAATGAGATCCACGAGGAGAATCAAAGAAGAAACGAGGAGTTGTTGAAGATTTTCAAATAGATCCTGTTGTATTTTCGATTTTTGATATTTTTGAAGCTGTTGTAAATAAACATGACTTTTAAAAAAATTCATAAAATCTGTAAAATTGAGAATTGAGGGGTTGAATGTCTGAAAATCTGAGAATCAGAAAAATTCAAATTCAAAATCATTTTTTAAACATTCTAGAATTTCGAAAAACTGAAATTCTAGAGGTTCAACATTCTCAAGAGTTTGCTAGAGGATTCTCAGAATTTGAGATTCAGAATTTTTGAATTTTTGAATTTTTGAGCGAGAAATATCCGTTTTCAGTTTTTCCCTTCCCCTCCCCTCTCCCCCTTCTCTCCCTTGCCCACCGCGCCCTTCTTATACGCCGTGCCGACATAGTTTTCTCGCCGCCCGGTTAGCTCAGTCGGTAGAGCACCAGACTCTTAATCTGGTTGTCGCGGGTTCGAGCCCCGCATTGGGCTTATGCTTTTTTTATATATTTTTTTTTGCTGTTTTTTGTTTGTGATTTGTGATTTTTTGAATTTTTTAACGCCAAAATTTCAGATATTCAGGATTTTTGTTTGATTCCAGCTATCCCAGTTTTCTAACGTGATTTTTTAAAAATCCCCAGCCAGCCAATCCACGCATCAAAGTGTGTCTCATGTGGAACCCAATTTGGATCTCAAAAAATCCCCAAAAATCAATTCCTGCTGAAAAAGTGCTTCTAGACACAACATCCTTTTAACTGGTCCCTATTTTAAGTGAGCTGAGATCAATGTGTTTCACTAAAAAGTTAGTTTACCCCAACCGTCAACTTTGAGCTCATCTATCTCGGTTCTCATAAGATATAACAAAAATTGGTCAACTAATAAAATATTTATCATAATATCAGCAACATTTTATCAGTTGACAAAATTTTGATATCTCTTACAGGAAGCGAGATATTCAAGCGTAAGACACACGCCACTACTAGCGTCGCGGTCGGCGCAGTTGGCTGCACTTCAAGCTCAATTATTTCGGTTCTTATGAGAGATATTGAAATTTTGCCAACTGATAAAATATTTATCATAATATCAGCTACATTTATCAGTTATCAATTTTTGATATCTCGTTGAGGAACCGAGAAAATTGACCTGAAAGTTGAGTGGGATTCTATTAGAGGAAACTCCTATGCAGCGCACTTGCAGTCTTTCGCATTCTCAGTAGAGCTCATTTTCCACAATTCCAGAGCAAAGAACTCGTTACGTGAACGCTCGAAAGTCACTCCGGCGCCGAGTGAGAGTTGTGAGAGCTCAAAAGAGACTTCGAGACTTTCAAGTAAGCGACAAGCGGAAAAGAATGGAGGAACTGGATTGGCAACGACTACTCCGTTGGCTCAAACGCCGGGAGTGGCTGCTGGAAAAGGCGTCAATCAGAAGGCGATGGTTGTGGTAAGACTCCAAAAAAATACAGTAGTTGCATTCCAATGTTTCCAATATTCCTCTCTCGGCGCCAACCTCCCCCCCCCCCCCGTCGGCACCCTAAAAGCGCGGGATTGTGTACGTCAATTGCTCCCTTCCATTCTGTCACCCCGTGGCGCAGGTGGTAGCGCACCTGTCTTTGGATCCGAGCCCTCCAAAAGTTCGATTCCACCTAGGCTATTTAAGTTTTTTAGGGCGTTTAGTTATGTTTAAAGTGGTTTAGATTCGTTTTGAGCTTTGCTTAAGAGGTTAGTGGTACTAAAAATGGGTCAAAATATCGTTTTCAGGTTAAGCCATGGGTCCAGCGCACCCTGGACATGGGTGTGCCGGCGTTGGTTGATGAGTTCCGTGGATTGGCCAGGTACACTCCAGAGGGGATGACAACGGAGGCGTTCAATGCGAATAAAAATAAGAATCGGTAAGTGCGAAAAATTGAATTTTCGAGAACACATCAAAATCTGTAACTAAATACCTGTATTTCTGTGAAAATTTGAAGTTTCTAGCACATCTAGAACCAGAGATACAACCCTTGATAGTTTTGAAGAGACGCAGACAGTTAGAGTGTCTTGTCGTCGACGCTCTCCTCTTTTTCCATACTATCTAGCTCGTCAACTTTAAAGCGTCATATCTCCGCTCTTAGAATAGCTAGGAATTTCTCTAGAATTTTAACAAACAAAATTAGAGCTACAATTTTGTAACTGACAACTTTTTTGTAAAGATTTCACTAAATGAGGTATGCGCCTTTAAATTGTCAAGACCGAAATTTTAGACATTTTTGTTCAATTTTTAAAGACGCATATCTCAATAAGGAAAATTTGAACAAAAAAGTTGTCAACTACAAAAATGAAGCTCTATTTTTGTTTAGTATATCTGGACATTTTCAGACAAATTGAAAAATGTTGAGCCGCTTTTGTAGGGCTTCAAAGTTTACTACCATAAGCACTATGATGATTCCATGTCGTTGTAAACTTTGAGCTCATATATCTCATTTGCTGTGAAAGATATCACAAAGTCATTAACTACTAAAATGTTTGTGATGTTATGATAAACATTTTATCAGTTAATCACTTTTCGGTATCTTTCACAGGAAGCAAGATATACGGGCTCAAAGTTAACAGTTTGGGTGCCACTAAATTCGCCTATTAACGGTATTTTCTACTGATAATAGTCAAAGTATGATATCGTTTGGTCCGGGGTACTGTACTTCCACACCTAAATAACAATTTTCCAGATACCAAGACGTTCCATGCCAAGACAAAGGTCGAATCGTTCTCAAATTCCCTGGTCTCCAATCGGACTACATTCATGCCAACTACCTTGGCACCGCCCATAATCCCAAAAAGTTTATCTGTGCCCAAGGACCATTGGAAAACACTCAACACTCGTTTTGGGCGATGGCACTTCAGGAGAAAGTGGAATGCATCATAATGCTGTGCAATTGTATTGAAATGGCGAAAATCAAGTGTCATCAGTATTGGCCGTTGGAGAAGGATCAGAAATTGGTTTTCGGAAAAGCACCGAATCAGATTACTGTAACTAATATGGGCGCGAGAAAGATGTCACCGGAGGAGCAGTGTATTAATGTGACTAGTCTGAAAGTGGATTGGGTTGAAGGATCAAGGACCATTCAACATCTTCAATGGGAGAACTGGCCGGATCGAGGAGTACCACAGACTAACCTTACTGCTATTGTAGGTTTTGAATTTTTTAAAATTTAAAAATTTTGAATTTTTTAAAATTTTGGATTTTTAAAAATTTTGAATTTTTGAATTTTTGAACTTTTGAATTTTTGAACTTTTGAAATTTTGAACTTTTGAATTTTTGAAACAAAAATTCAAAAATTCAAAAATTCGAAAAATTCGAAAACTCTTAAAATATTTTCAATTTTCCGAATCTCAGAAATTTGGAATTTCTGAAATTACATAACTTTCAGAATTATTGAAAGCTTGATTCAAAAATTCAAAAATTCAAAAATTCAGAATTTGAGAAATCCCAAAAATTGATTTTCCAGAACCTTCTCTCAGCTACTCGTGGCAACCAGAACCCAATTCTGGTCCATTGCTCAGCCGGAATCGGTCGTACTGGAACAATTGTAGCCATCGCCTATGTCCAAGACAAAATGATGGCTGGAGAGGATTGTATGGCGATGAATGAGTTGCTCAAAGAGCTCCGCTCCCATCGTCCATGGTCCATTCAAAATGAATTTGTAAGATTTTTTTTGAAAATCAAAATTGTATAAAAATCTTCAAATTTCAGCAATACCTGTACCTCCATCGCGTTCTTCTCTCCTATTTCCTCGAACGTCATAAGGATGCTTATGAGGAATTATTGATTGGAGAGAATGGAAGAAAATATAAGAAATGGGTTGAGGACTACGCCACCGCTACTGGATCCAATCTTCAGAAGTGATAACCAAGATTTTTTTTTGTGTGTAAAAGTGAATAAAATGCTTGAAAACTGTGTCAAAATCTTTTTGATGACCCTGAAAGATTTTTTGGAGATTTGGGTTTTTTATTCGAACTTTCTGAATTCCCGAGTTTTAGATTTTTGAAACTTCCGTTTGTCCAAAAACTTGGAATTTTTGATTTCCAAATTTTAGATATTTAGGAGAAAAAACAAATCAAAACTTCAAAAATATCTTGAATCCGAAAAATCTGAAGTTCGAAAAATCTGAAATTCGGAAATTATAGAATCTTGGAAACTAGAAATTCTGATTTCCGAATTCCGAAAAAATCGAAAATCCAGAAACTCGGAAACTCGGAAGTTCAAAATTCGGAACGTAATTCAAAGATTAAAATATTCGAGAATCGAAAATCAGTAAAAATTCGAAATTCAAAAAAGTTTGAATATGAAAAAGGACCGAAAATAGAAAAAATTTCAATTTCATAGTTTTGTGTCACAACCTCCAACAATTATAATTTTCTCATTTTTCGATGTTTTCTGAAAATTATTCTGATTTCCAAACGTGAAAACTTTCCTCCCCCATTTTCCAAATTTTCCACATTTTCCACATTTTCCCTGCGCACTAAAAAATCAATATCTCCCTAGAAACGGAATCCTCTCGAAATCAACAAAAGAACAAATCGAAGACGACCGCTGAAGGGAAAAAATTTAGAAGAAGAAGAGAACAGGAATGCATTTCAAAAAACACGCATTTATCGCATTTCTTCTCGTATTGGTGATTGGAAATTTCGACGGTGTTCAAGCGGCAATTCCAGAATATCCATTGTGTTTGGACCGAGGATCAAAAGGGGTCGCCAAGGAACCCACTTACTTCCTTTTTCTCATTGATAAGTTGATTGGAGATGATGTGGTGAGTTTATCTTGTTTGCTGTGAGAGATATCAAAAAGTGGGCAACTACAAAATTGTAGATTGTTTTATACCACACATTTTATTAGTTAACTAGTTTTTGATATCTCTTATAGAAGCCGAGATAAAATAGATTCAAGGTTGTTCCGGCACATAGGGGTGGTGGATCTGCTGCCGCGACACTGGGGGCGGCGAGAAGAACTTGACAGGCAGAGGCCTTGTCAAGTTGTATTGTATGCATTATCCTCGTCCGAGACTGACAGTTCCAACGAGCTTGGTATAAGCTTTGCTAGGACTAGAAGCCCTGCTAGGCTATGTTCCCGGTCAATGCACCATGTGGTTCCTGAACAAGAAGACCGAATATCAGACTGCAATAATGCGCATGATGCAGTTGAACAAGTGTGACTTGATACTATATACTGTCTATTCAATAAAACGTGGGCGCGCCG